ATACAAGCGGCCGAAATGAGTTTCCTCCGTAGGGTGGCCGGGCTCAGCCTTAGAGATAGGGTGAGGAGCTCGGACATTCGGGAGGGACTCGGAGTAGAACCGCTGCTCCTCCGGATCGAAAGGAGCCAGTTGAGGTGGTTTGGGCATCTGGTCAGGATGCCTCCTGGACGCCTCCCCGGGGAGGTGTTTCGGGCATGTCCTGCCGGCAGGAGGCCCCCGGGTCGACCCAGGACACGTTGGAGAGGTTACATCTCCAATCTGGTCCGGGAACGCCTTGGGGTCCTGCCGGAGGAGCTGGTGGACAAGGCCGGGGAGAGGACGGCCTGGAGCTCCCTAGTTGGGATGCTGCCCCCGCGACCCGGACCCGGATAAGCGGAGGAAGACGACGACGACGAGCAAGTTAGGACTGTGCTGTAGTGATGCAATATGAGTTATTAATGGGGCCGACCAGCAAGTTGCTGACCAAGATGTAATTTGCTCTATGCACATGGTGCAAACGGTTGTTTTATATGTCTGAGTCATCAGCTTGCTGGTCAGCGCCTCTGTACCTTGAGTTTTTTATTCACTTTATTTTTTAAAATAATTGAAAACTAATTCAAACAACCATTTCCCTCAAGATTTCTGTAAAGAAGTATTTAACAAAGCAAAATCAATAAAAATAATTTCAATTTCCCCAGCTGTGTGGGTACCGTTGCATTGTGTTCACGTCGCTCGCTTTTACTGCAGCCTTAATCTTTGCTACGTCAGCTTCAGCACTAAACGCCGCGCAGCTCGGCGGTAGATAATGATGGCATTACCATTGATCCCTACAAAGTAAGTCAAGAGCAGTCGATGTGTTCTCCGTGTAGCTAGACGGGGTAAGCTGACTGCGGTGGAGGAACGATAATGTGCAGATTAGAAAGTTACAACTGAAGAGATTGAGATTTTGTGTGTGTGTGTGTGTGTGTGTGTGTGTGTGTGTGTGTGTGTGTGTGTGTGTGTGTGTGTGTGTGTGTGTGTGTGTGTGTGTGTGTGTGTGTGTGTGTGTGTGTGTGTGTGTGTGTGTGTGTGTGTGTGTGTGTGTGTGTGTGTGTGTGTGTGTGTGTGTGTGTGTGTGTGTGTGTGTGTGTGTGTGCGTGCGTGCGTGCGTGCGTGCGTGCGTGCGTGCTGCTCTGCACGCCAGAGAAAGCCAAAGCTTTAAGGATGCATGTTTTTGGCTTCAGTTTAGGCCCAGCTTTTGCCAACATCTGCCTACCATGAGGCTTCTGACTTTGGCAGTCATGCAGCAGTTAATCAGACTGATGTGACAGTCGCCAGTCACTCTGCACTGCAGGCACAGCGCAGTGTTGCAGGATGGGAGCCGGCGTTCAAAGGGTCATCTGTCCTGCAGGTTTCTACTGATGCAGGCTCTTAACGCTGGTCCTGATTCACAGCTCAGGCCTGATTAGGGCTGGATGCTAAAACAGTTTCAAAATTGAGTAAATTTTGTATTTCTATAGTTGCATTTTCCATCAATAGTCGACCACTCATCCATCAGCACAAGGTTGTCATGACCAAGGTCGACACAAAAAAAAAATCAATACAAAAAATGGTTGAGTGGTGTTTTTTTTTGTTTGTTTTTTGCTGTGGCATCCCAGCCGTAGTCCTAAAGCCAGTTTCTGAGACTAGGAAAGTCGCTGCAAGAAAATATGCAGCTTTAAGGTGGGATCACACTGAATTAAAACATACAACACCCTTTACAACCAGTTTTATGCAAATGTTGCACAAGTTACTAACTTTCTTATTTAGTCCGTGTCTTGATTGTTCCTCAAACCATTCACAGTTTACCCTTGCAGTTGTGTCACTGAACCTTTCAAAGTTTGTCTCCCGTTTCTGACATGACCTTTGAGAGGACATTTGAAGTTGAGAAGCTTTGAACTTGTTCCGGTTAGGGTTCGGGTTCGTCCAGCAGCTCACAAAATGAAGTGAGACCCTCTTTTGGTGTTTTGGGATTTATATTTTGTCAAAAATGGTCACGCCTAGCTAAACTCTCACCAGGAACTTGTATACTGCATTCCATCTTATTGGTCTTAGACCGGAAACATCCTACTGAGATAACAAGGACAGCAACACACACTGCAATGTGAGGCTTAATGATGTCTAAACATCAAAAACACAAGGAGGAAGCCAGCTGACTCCGTACCTAGACGTAAACGAAGTGAAAGATGTTTGTTTATAAGATGTTATCTTTTTCCGCTGTGTAAGGAAAGCTTTGGAACCACAGATGTTTGAATTCACCATTAGCTCAGGGTGGAAAATCCTTATCAAGCACAGCTGATAACACATCCTACATTCCTTCGGTCTTTGTGAGTTTGTCGGCCTGGACGCCACCATTAGGGGTTGTTTTCTGTGTTTGGTGCCGTAGTTGATGGAGCGCTCCATCAGGAGGAGTTTTTGCTCATGCTATGTTTTAGAGATGTTTGACAGGCTACTGCTTTGAGCTCCAGTGTTAATTATAGCCCCAAACTAACTGAAAGAATCTACTCAGCTCTTAGTTCTTACTTTTTAATCAGCTTCTGATAACAATAGGTTTGATTAAAATTCATAAATATTCTTACTTTGATCTAAACTCTGACCTCTGGTGGCCTCCAGGACAGCTTTTGTTGTGCGTGCCTGAGCCTTTCCCTCTCCGGAAGCAGAGTAGTTAATTCAGCATCACATCTGGGGAGGACCGTTATCAGTGGCGTTCAGTAATTTGAGTCGGTGATGAGGTCAGGGTGCAGAAGGAGGCTTTTAATGAGTTTTGCTGAAGGTGTTAATTTGCTGGCTGTGTGTGTGTGTGTGTGTGTGTGTGTGTGTGTGTGTGTGTGTGTGTGTGTGTGTGTGTGTGTGTGTGTGTGTGTGTGTGTGCGTGTGTGTGTGTGTGTGTGTGTGTGTATATTTGTCTTTATATGTTTAAATGGACACATTTTAAATTTTAACCTGTAGTGTGTGGACATTTCCACTTTGTGGGGACGTTTAGCTGGTCCACACAATGACAAAACACCCTTAAACGTTGTTTTAGAGGTATGCTGTGAATTACACGCTGGAGGGACTTTGTCTCTCGGCTGGCCAGGGAACGCCTTGGGATTCTCGCGGAAGAGTTGCTAAAAGCAAGCTAAAACTGCAGTTTCCCTTTAAGCAGAACAGCTGACAGCATTTTAGAGGGACAGTGTCAGTGTGGGTAAAATTAGATTATAAATCTACATTTTCTATTTTCTTTCTTCTCTTTTCTCCTTAAAGAGCAAGTCACCCCCAAATCAGCTTTTTTTTGTTGATAATCTATATAAATTGGTGTCTAATCGTGCTGTAGACACACATAGTCAATAATTCAGCACTTTAGTGCATCTTAGTTAAAATTTTAATTTTCTGCCTAAATCTCTGCACCGCATTTGAATTTAAATCTGGCATCACTATTGGCTAAGAGGTACATTATGATGTTACCTGGTACCATATGCTGTCACAGTGTCGTTGTGAGCCTGTGTGTGTGTATTAGAGCCCTGCACTGAAGCCCTAGGCCCTCGGGTCGGCCTGGCCCGAGGGCCTAGGGCTTCGGGCCAACGACTGTGTAATTACCTCGGACACGGGCCGGGCTAGGCGCCTTTATTTTTAATCGAATTCATAAAAAAAACTGAAACACTTGAACGCAGCAGCACCTGCCTGCTTCTCACGCACCGGCACCGTTAGCTCAGTTAAAGTCTGTGTGGTTTATAAATGCGCCTATATAAACGAATTCTCAAACTGCTGATTGAAACATGTGCCCCTATTCTCATATGCCATTTTATGTCCACTTTGATATGTCAGAAACCATTCGTTTATTCTCATGAAAACGGCAGCATTCTATTTTTCTGTGAATAAATTCGCTCTGCAGTTAATAAAAACAGCATTCATTGCTGTTTTTTTTCCTAACTGGAGAGCGTATTTTCAGAGCGGCAGATTACATTTACAAACGCTTTTATTAATTGGGGGCGTTTATTTAATCTGCCGCTCTGAAAATGCGCTCTGCAGTTAGAAAATTAGAATGCTGCTTTTTTTTCTAATTGCACAAGAGCGCATTTTCAGAGCAGATTAAATTTACAAACGCATCCAATTAATATAGTGTTCGTAAATTTCATCTGCCACTCGAAAAATACGCTCTGTTAGGGAAAAAAGCTGCATTGATGCTGTTTTTCTTTCTTACTTTTCTTTCTTTTTTTCTTTTTTTTTTTTTTTTACTGCAGAACGCTTCTCACAGATAATTAGAATGCTGAGCATTCTATCACGCTAAAACATTATGAAAGGTTAAAAAAAAAAGTCGGGCTCAGGTCGGGCCAGAGAATCCTGAAAACCTTTTCGGACCGGGTCGGGCTGGGACTCCACCCCCTCGGGCCTGGCCGGACACGGGCTCAGATTCTAGGCCTGTGCAGGGCTCTAGTGTGTATTTGTTAGCGGCTTCGCCCTCTTGGTCTGCCAGGCAACATCATCTGTTGCATTTTTCAAACAGGAAGTGAGAGTGGAGTAAGACTCTTGTAGGGGGTGACTTGCACTTTAAACCTAATGTATCTCTAGTTACTTCAGGGTGCCAGTCTTTGTTATTGGGAAGAATAATACAGCTATGCTGAGCTCAACTTCATTCAATAGACTCATGTAACCTTGTTCTGGGTTAAACTTACAAAACTTTGTTTTCCTCTTTGGTATTCAGCTTAATGACCTCTGCACTATTGTGAAAGGTTACAATGGTCATAAATAACCAGTGATATGTTTTTGTTTTCATAGCTTAAGTAGTTTACAAGAATTTAGTCATAGCAGACTCATTTTATGAGGCTATAAAATAAACCTGTTCCTGCTGCAGCATGGCACAATTAAATTGGGGTGTCAAAATGGCAAATGTCTTCATTTAAAAATATATATTTTCATTTATTGCAAATTAAGACCATTTTTATGACCTGATATAAATGAGCCTCTTTTTCACATTTCCTTTGTTCTTGCCACTCACTGCTTCTTTTTCTGCCATTTTCTTTCAGGTTTGAATGTTTGGAAGAGCAAAGAGGGAATTTGGGTTGTTCAGTATCGTGAGGAATTCCTGATGAAGAATCAGAAAATGTGCACATGTGAGATTTCCACCGTTCTCCAGAGACTTGCTGACCTGTGATCAGCCATGTCATGCCAGCGTCGCTCATCGAGGGACCGGCCCTCTTCGCATGCCGGACAGTTTTCTTACCCTGATGTAGAAGACCCTAACCCGAACTAAACCTCTCAATAGAAATGGCATTAGCTTGTGTGAGCTACGCCACAGATGATGTATTAGAGTACAGGTGAGGCTCGGCCTCTACCCACAACACCCGCAGGACCCTCAGTGGAGATACAGCTGCAGGTGACTTTTACGGAAGGACGAGTGACAATCCAGCTTTGATGATTTAGTATCCAACCCAAGCCTCGTTGACAAGGTCGACCATGGCTGCTGCTGCTCCCCCAAGAAACTGTTTCTTGATGGGGCGAAGAACGGTCTGAAAAGATCAACGATGCAGCGTAACGGTGGGGGGGTGGGTGTCGGAGGCCAGCCATGGGTGTTTCGCCGGGTGCGTCTCACTTGGCTGAGTTTCATGCTCTTCTTCATCCTGGTTTTTTTCCCGCTCATTGCTCACTACTACCTCACCACCATCGATGAAGCTGGGGGTCCAGACAATCGCATATTTGGGCCCCGGCCCGGAGGGGAACTGTGCGAGGCCAAACACGTGCAGGACTTGTGCCGCATTCGTGAGTCTGTCAGCGAGGAGCTGCTGCAGCTCGAGGCCAAGAGGCAGGAACTCAACGGGGAGATCGCCAGACTCAACCTCCGGATCGAGGCTTGCAAGCGCAGCATTGACAGCGCCAAGCAGGACCTGCTGCAGTTGAAGAATGTCATCAGTCAGACTGAGCATTCCTATAAAGAGCTAATGGCCCAGAACCAGCCCAAGCTGTCATTGCCTGTTAGGCTGCTACCAGACAAGGAGGACCCAGGACTGCCGCCGCCTAAGTCTGTGCGGGCCTGCCGCCTGCGCTCTTGCTTCGACTATGCACGCTGTCCTCTAACATCTGGATTTCCTGTGTACGTTTACGGCGCAGGCACTTATTCGTGGGGAGACTATCTCGACCCACTTGTCAAGCAGGCTTTTGCAGCATCTGTCAAGAGCAACATTTATGTAACTGATAACCCCAGCATTGCCTGTTTATATTTGGTACTGGTGGGAGAGGTACTGGAGACCCTGCCTCTACCTTCTCCCTTGGAGCTGGAGAAGCAACTGAAAGCTCTTCCTTACTGGAGATCAGATGGACACAACCATGTACTGGTGCATCTCTCTAGAAAGTCTATGACGCAGAATTTTCTTTATAATGTAAGCACAGGACGAGCAGCAGTCGCTCAGTCTACCTACCTGGAGCAGCAGTACCGCGAGGGCTTCGACTTGGTTGTGTCTCCGCTGGTTCATGCTCTTTCAGAACCCAACTTTTTGGAAGCGCCGCCTCAGGTTCCTGTTAAAAGGAAGTACTTGTTCACCTTCCAGGGTGAGAGGGTGGAGTCACTGAGGAGTAGCTTACAGGAGGCACCCCCACAGTCTTTTGAGGAGGAACTTGAGGGTGATCCACCAGCTGACTACGACGATCGGATAATTGGCACTTTAAAGGCGGTCCAGGACAGCCATCTGGATCAGGTGCTGGTAGAGTTTACCTGCAAGAACCCAAAGCCAAGTTTGCCAACAGAATGGGCACTTTGTGGGGAAAGGGAGGAGAGGCTGGAGGTGCTGAAGGCTTCTACGTTTGCTCTGGTGATCGCTCCGGGGGACGGACAGCTGGTAGCCTCAGCAGGCTGTGGCGTGAGACTGTTTGAAGCCTTAGAAGTAGGAGCCATCCCTGTGGTATTAGGAGACCACTGTAAACTACCGTACCACCAGTTAATCCGCTGGAGTGAAGCTGCCATTCTCGTCCCCAAGCCCCGTGTCACAGAGCTCCACTTTCTGTTGCGCAGCCTATCAGACAATGACATGCTAGCTATGAGGCGGCAGGGTCGCTTTTTGTGGGAGACGTACTTCTCAACCTCAGAGAATGTTCTTAACACCATCCTAGCGAGTATTAGAACCAGCATCCAGGTGCCTGCCGCACCGATGAAAGACGAGCCGGCTAACGAGATTGCTCACAAAGCTGGGAAGCTAGCAGGAACTGACGCCAACTTGGCCGACAATGGAGATCTGGATCTGGGTCCTGTTGAAACGGAGCCTCCCTACGCCTCTCCTCGCTTTCTCCGCAACTTCACATACACAGCAGCAGACACCTACAGAACATGGAACCGGGCCCCGGGGCCATTCCATCTGTTTCCTCACACTCCGCTGGACCCTGTGCTGCCCTCTGAAGCCAAATTCCTTGGCTCCGGCACTGGTTTCAGGCCTATTGGTGGGGGCTCGGGAGGCTCTGGGAAGGAATTTCAGGGCGCTCTGGGTGGGAATGTACCCCGTGAGCAGTTCACGGTGGTCATGCTGACATATGAGAGGGAGGAGGTGCTGATGAACTCTCTAGAGAGGCTAAATGGGCTACCCTACCTTAACAAGGTGGTGGTGGTTTGGAATTCACCAAAACCTCCTTCAGAAGACCTGCTGTGGCCAGACATCGGCCTGCCTATCGTGGTGAGTGTATATCTGGTTTTAATTCAACGACTACACAAAAACATCTACCTGCTTCTCATCATTTGTCTCTTGAATTCCCCAAGATAGCCTGCCACGCTGTGATAGGTGTGAAGCTTCCTCAGGCATTACACTGATTTGTTCGGATCAGTGAAGCAGCTTTACTAAAACTTCTGGAGAAGGATGACAGTCCTGAAAACCACCAGTAGGGCTTTTAAATGAGGGCAGAAAAGCAACCCATGTGTTTTGGTTTTCTGTCATTAGCTGGTGACACAGGCCGGTGTGCAGAACTAGTGCTGCTGGGCGAAAAACGCTTTAGCTCTACGACAGCTAACGTTAGCAGGATCGTTTTTTTTCCATTCCCTAATCACAATTCTGAAAAAAGAAATTAGGGCATTTTTGTTTTTCGAATGTTGCTCTGCCTTCTTAATTAAGACAGCCCAAGTTTATATTTTTTACACTCCCTAGTATCTCACAGGCAAAAGTGTCTGTTTCTCTGGGTTTGGTACGTGGAAACCTGTTGTCCTTCCCTGAATGAGTCTTTTATTCTGTCATTTTTGGTTTAGTAAACTTTGAAAATGAAAGCTTTATGCTCAGTAATGTCATTTTTGTCCAACTTGCTTTCCACTAAGCTCTCATGTCGATACCTGCAGGTGGTTCGGACTGAAAAGAACAGCCTCAATAACCGTTTCCTTCCCTGGGACGTTGTGGAAACCGAGGCCATCCTCTCCATCGACGACGACGCTCACCTCCGCCACGATGAAATCATGTTTGGGTTCAGGTCAGTGGAGCTCGGGGAAATGCCTTTTATTATCCTGAGTAAAGGCTTGCTCACATTTTAGTTAGCCCTTTTACCAAGTCTCATCTATGGAATAATAATCTGTGCCTCGTACTTTCATCAGTAGATGCTTGTGATGATTAATTATAATCCACTTTGTTCGGGGCTTGGAAGTCACCTTTTGTTCAGATGAGGTTATATGATTTTTATGAGGATGGAAGTCTTCATTTTACATTGAAAGACGATTTAAACCATAAACAACCTAAATAATTGTTTCTACTAGACCAGCAATCCCCGACTCCCTTCCTCGAAGGCCGGTACCCAGCATGTTTTAGTTGTTTCCCTAATCTAAAACACTTGATTCACCTGTTCAGCAGCTCATCAAGCTCTACAGAAGCTTGTTAATCACCTGCTGATTAAAGACAGGTGTGTTGAAGCAGGAAAACAGTCAAACAAGCTGGATGCCGACCCCCGGGGAAAGGAGTTGGGAATCACCGCTCTGAGATTTAGACTCAAAAACATCTTTTTAAACACATGTAAGGTAAAATAGTACCCAAGAATAACTGTGTGAGAAGGAACTTAACCATCACAATCCTGGACTTCCCGTCACAGAACGTGACTATTTAAACGAATTAAAATGTCAAACATAGAGGTGAGTTTTTGAATGTTTCTGCACCACCTTACTCTTTTTCCAGACTTGTGTACAACTCAGAGCTCTGGTAGCTTGTCCAGACAAGCAAATACAAGGTGTGTGTGTGTGTGTGTGTGTGCGTGCGTACCGGGTCACTTGTGTTCAGTTATCTCCAACTCCCCCAGAATTACTCAGGAATGTTTCCTCACCTCCACTCCAGCCAGGGAAAAGTGTCTCCGATGTTAAAGTGGTTTCACATGAACTCATTAGAGACAGAAAGTTGCTTTTCTGAGGTTTCTTGGAACTCCTCGACCCGAGGGGAGGAGTTTCTCCGAGTTTCTCATCCGATGAACCGATGGGTTGCGGTTTCTGCTAATAAAAGCCGAGATGATCTGATTTAAAGAAGAGAAAATGAGAGGTCTGTGACTTTATTTGTGTTTGATCGTTTCTCTTAGAGTGTGGCGTGAGGCCAGGGATCGCATTGTGGGCTTTCCTGGAAGGTATCACGCTTGGGACATCAACCATCAGTCCTGGCTCTACAACTCCAACTACTCCTGTGAGCTCTCCATGGTCCTGACAGGAGCTGCTTTCTTCCACAAGGTCAGATCCAGAACCCCGGCCCCCAAAATAAAACCCTCTGAGCATATTTTATCCACTGACACGACCCCGTATGCTTTTATTTCTGCAGTACTACGCGTACCTCTACTCCTACGTGATGCCCCAGGCCATCAGAGACATGGTGGATGAGTACATAAACTGCGAGGACATCGCCATGAACTTCCTGGTCTCTCACATCACCCGAAAACCACCCATAAAGGTCAGAGACGTTCCCTTCTGTTTTATTTTTTACCTTTTTCTTTGCTATTATTCAAACCAGCACATCTAATATCCCACTCACACACTATAAATCCTAAGCATGCAGTCGAATTGCTGCGTTCCGCTTGAGGTTTCTCCTCGATTTTTATTGGAAGGACATTTATCACCGGAGAGCGCATTTATGTCTGGACAAATAATTATAGCAATCAAGCCCTGGAAGCAGTTGGAAATGTCATGGCGGCCCTGTTTCAAGTTCTGTCTGATTTAGAGGGGTATTGATGTTCAGGAGGGTGTGCTGCATGGTGGCTCTTCACCGTGAAGAACAGGCCTGCTCAGTAATGAATTTAGGGCAAGTTACTAGTTCTAGTCAGACCTCATCTTTCAGGTCTAATGTGGCTTTGTGATAAATTTCTAATGGTAAGTTGGCAGAATTTTACTTAGCTTATCCAAAGTTGGTCACTTTTAAACAGAAGCAGGCTTCCTCCTGCCTCAGCCAGAACCCGATGCTCTTTGCTTCGATGCATTGTTGATCGGCTAACATCAGTTCCTTCTGTGGTTGAACCACTGCCTCAAGCTGTCCCAGTAACGGGTCTCGCAGACTCGCTCTAAAAGGAGAATCATGTAGTCAAGGTTTAAATGGACGTTTGATGGCGTTGTGCTAAAAGGCGCCAGTTAAACAGGGCTAGTTTATTTATTTATTTATTTATTTATTTTTATTTATTTATTTATTTTCCACTGGATGCAAATAAAGGTAAGGGATCTCCAATAGGGGTAGATCAGCAGATCTATCAGGCTGATATTTGACATTTTTTAAATATTATCATCGGCTAATATACCTCCTTAGTAAATGGATTAAAAATCAGGCACATCACTGGGGAGCCCAAAGCTCTGCACAATTTAATTTAAATATATATTTAAGTTTCTGAACAGCATATGCTTCATAAAGGCTCAAAAAACCTTTTTGCAACAGAAATTTCTTTTTTATTTACCAGATTTAAATATTTAGTTTACTAGTTTGTTTGACTAATTTTAGTTAAACGTGTCGTTGATAAATGTCGAACACGAAAATCAGCCCGACATTTCGGCAGCATAAATCAGCGCAAACGGGTTGATTATCTGACTTCCTGGAAAAGTGGAAAGGGAATTTAGCGTACAAACACGACATGGAATTGAAAGCACGTCTTCTCTTCTTTCTAAAAACATTTGAACTCCGTTGCGGAGTTGTGATAAATCAAAATAAGCATGTAAAGTGTGTCTGATTGTTGTTAGAGTGGCTTTAGCCTTCATGATGTCATTTCCTGTCATGTTTGTAAACGCTACTGTACACTGTGAATATCAAGCCGAAGCCCGAATCAAATTAAAAACCCAATTTCTGCCAGAAAAATCTGAATCCAATCATTTCCTAAAACCAGTCAGTTGACTCTTGAGGACCAAATAATTTGGTAAAATCTATTTTAAAAGATGAATTCTTCCTTCTCGTGGTGTCTGCACCACTACCTGCATTAGTTTCATGCTGCGAAGGTCACATTTGTGTAGGACATTCTTTAAAGACTTAATTTAATTGATCTATCTGTCTTAGAAGCGTTGTCCTTGGAAAATCCTTTTACTTCTCCATATCCATAGTTCCTCCTAGCTGGCATCGTTAATTATTCCAATTTTTTTTTATGTCTAATTGTACCTCTCATCTATTTTAGGTGACATTTGCACAAAATAATAGAAAATATGGAATATGTTTTTTAAAGATCAGTGATTTTCTTACTCTCCAAACTATTCAGGTTTTTGTAGTCTCATAATTTGTGCTAATTTAGCCCAAAAGTGGCTTTTCAAACGCAGCATTTAATCCATTTTCTCCTTCGAGCTTCCCTCCTGCTTTGTCTGCTGTTGTTTAGGCCCTCCCACCATTACTCAAACTGACACGTTCAATATTCCACAAATTATTATTCAAAAAACACAAGATTGAATTAGTTTGTAGTGCCAAAGCTTTCTCAAGGGTCTTTATTGAAGTGATATTTATTACCAAATTATGTGTTTTTGACTGGCCGAGTCATAAATCCTCACACTTCTTAGGTTTTAGCACCAAACGACTGCTGTGAATCTTATTTATTTATTTATTTTGCTGTAGGAATTAATGATTCTCTCAAGGTCAGTAGAAATGTAATAAATGTTCGGTCTCTCTGTTCCTCTCAGGTGACATCCCGTTGGACTTTCCGCTGCCCCGGCTGCCCTCAGGCCCTTTCACACGACGACTCGCATTTCCACGAACGCCACAAATGCATCAACTTCTTTGTCAAGGTCTATGGCTACATGCCGCTGTTGTACACACAGTTTCGTGTGGACTCTGTGCTGTTTAAGACTCGTTTGCCCCACGATAAGACTAAGTGCTTCAAATTCATCTAGGCCTGGGGTTGAGCGTTTCAGCACAGAGCCAAAATCTCTGATTGAAGGACCCGCAACTCCCACTACAAGAAGCGATGAAGACAGATGGGTGACCTGCAGGATAAATGCACAGGACGACACTTTCTGGGTATTTTGCCGAGGCGGACGGAGCTGCTAACTTGAACGGTTGTAGGTTGATTGGACAAATGTGCTGAAAATTTCAAGAGCGGAAGCTGAAAGGGACCACTGCCAAGAAACAAATCCTTTTCAGTGGGTGTCACTCCTCGTTTCACATGCCTTTCAATCATGTCCAACCATCAACCACTAGCTTCAGACCAGATTTGCACCTCTTACCTGCCTGCTGAGAAAGGGAGGTGGTTGTACAGTGTACAGGAACTCAGAGCTAACGGATGTTGACGGATGCAGCTTAGACCAGTTTCAAACTGAACTTCCAAATTTGAGAGAAGCACTGAGACATATTTTATTGAACTTTTTTTAAAAGAAATAATGTTGTTTAAATGTGTAAATTTATGTGGAGTGAAACCTTTTTAAACCCCCCTGCCTGAGGGAAATCAGAGTGAAAGTGCTCTGCCCAATCATGTCTCAGCAGCATGAAGTGCTCAAGAGGGAATTCACTTCAGCAGTCAGTCACCATAATGCCTCAAATCTGTCAATAAAACCAGCCATCATGTTGTCATTGCGTTAGCATAAATGGCTACTGCACTTGTGTCTTCTTGCTGTTTGTGAAATCGTTCCGAGGCGAAAAATGTCATGTTTAAATGTAATCTTGATCGCACAAATGCCAAAATCAACAGAAGATGGGTTTGATGTTGGGATTATTTGCAGAAAATGGCTGAAAGCACAAGTCTAATATGGACTAGTGTTCTGATGGAGATCCATACTTCTTCAAATCCACATCGAACACTTGGAAGAAGAATTTTGGCTCTGCCAAAAAAAAACCCTTGTGGCAAATTTAGATCTCACTAATTAGAGCGTTTTACTTTGATTTATGGGGAGGGTAATGCAATGGGTCAGAACATTTCGAGGCTCTGAAGCAGTTGCCAGGCAACCTGCCAGCACTCCTGTTGGCCTTTATTCTGTTTTTTTAGAACATTTTATTTCTGCTTTTTTTTTCTGATTTAAACTTTCCCGTCTATTATTCTATCAGGCATCAATTATTGTCCCAAACATCTTTTAGACACACTTTAGCAGCCCAGGTGTTTGACGTGTCCAATCATGTCCTCCCTCTGTACAGAAACGTCGCTTCACAGTGTCGACATATTTGTTCTATTTCTAATTTCCTGCTTGAAGAATGTTTTCTTTGCTGAACTGGTACGATATCTGCAGCTTTACAGCTTCATGCAGTCTGGTACGCCCAAAGCTAGCCCGCATGGTACCCACCCAGCCAGTTCTGTATTATAAACCCAAAGTCCATCGCTTGGTTGTGTTGTTCCCAACTTCCTGTAATCTCAAAATTCAACTTGAAACATACTCAAACTGGTGTTTGACGATTTTATGAAACACTAACTCTGACACGGTTTCTGTATATTTATTGAAATTAATAAAAAGAAATGTTTTAGAACTGAAGAGACATGCAATGAAATGACGAGACATTGTACTGCTTTTTTCCTGATCACACAATCCCGATTGAGCAATCGGCTTAAATAAGTAAAATAAAGATTCCTCTGATTTGAGAGGAGACCAACTAGAGTGTTTGAAGCCAAGCCTCTACCTTCTCCAGATGGCTAGGACCCCTCTAGTGGAACATACAAATGTTGAATTAGCAACTGTTAACCTCAAAGTAACACTTAGTGCTGTAAAAATGAACAAAACAAACATGAACACGTATGGAAGCATATGTGACTGCACGGCTACCTGTCATCTTTAAACAAGCCCTCAAGGCTTAGTCGGGAGCCTGCTTTGGTTCCTCCCCACCTTTCAGGGATCAGTGGCCCAACTGGTTTTCTGTTGCTCGGAGCAAGATGAATCTGGAAGTCCGCCTGTAAGGTGTATATATCCACTGATCTGATCCACATCTGTGGGCCAGGTTTTCCTCAACTTGCAGCGCTATTTGTGATTTCTATGACTGATGATGGTGTCAAACATACATCAGAAGGCTAAATGATTAGAAATAAAAGTTTTACATGGTTTGAAAAAAAATCTGTCTTGTGTCCTTTTTTTCACGCTAGCGCTTTAACATTGATCCCAGTGATTGTTGAGTTCCAAACTTGACCAATTTCATATTTGACACCAATGCTGCCATCTTCTGGTCAGATAATGTGTGCATGTTTCCGCCTGTATCTGTTCTGTCTATATGTGTGTGTGTAACCTTGGTCAGACTGTTCTGTGGAGTCGAGTTCCTATGCTCTGGTTCGCTGGAGCGCTGGCAATAAAATTCTGATTCTCTGATTCTGAACAGTTTGTGGAGTGGGAAAGTGCTCTATAGGGGGCATTCTTTACCTGCTTTATTGCTGTTCGCTAGCAGTTTGCTGATCGTCAACGAAAAGCAGAAAAAGAAAAAAATCGCTTTTTCCATGCATCATGTTGGAGCCTGGAAGTAAAAGTAAGAGAGTAACGTCCTTGGAGGCGAAGCAAAGAGCTAAAACCAGGGTGAACATCAGCGCATCCCACTCTAGTTTGGGGGAGCTAAAGGAGGCTACAAAAAAAAAAGACTGGTGGTGACCTGGCTTTGTTGTTATTGGACTTGTAAGTAATAACATTTTCCTAGTGTGTTTTAATTTTAGTTGGCCCATGATAGTGTTGGCTCATTGTTAGCACCAGCTACATCAGAGTGCTGCATGGTTGTTTATGACAGTTGTAACTCTACTATCAACCAGTAGGGTGGAGGAGCAGGAAACTGCTCTGTTACTTGAAATGTCCATGTCCCAACCAGGCTATCCATCATTTTGACAGATTGAAAATCCCCCCCCCCCCCCCCCCCCCCCCCCCCCATTAAGGTGTGCAGACATTTTAAATGTTACGCACAGAGTAAAAAGATTCCCATCTGAGAATCTGAGCACTCAGTTGAACATGCTCAACGTATCTTTCTATTGACATCGTGCTGAAGAGCTATGGACAGGAGGCTTTGGAGCGTGTTTGACAACCAAGGGAAATCATTTAACTGGATTGTTTATTTATTATTGGAACACTGTTAAGCTTGTTTGGACTAAATGTTAAATAAATCTACATGAAAATTAAGTGGTATTTAATGTTTATTATTTTAAAAACTAAAGTGATGGGAGAAAAATCGATCATGACCATTTTCCCCCTTACTGTCAAGTTTTTGAGGAACAGTAGGAACCATCAGAAAGGAACCATCATGCAAGCACCTAGTATCACTGGGACTTTAAAAGGGAACATCAGCACTGTGTGGGTGTGTCAACAGCAAATGAGCCAAAAATGTTTGTGGAAAAAACCTAAATGATTAATATCTATAAACCCAAAGAGGCAGCCGATAAGATACGTGTTTACAATAACGTGTTGTGTGAACATTTTGACTTCTGCTTCTGTGTGTGTTTGTGATGTCACCAAGGTGACCTGGCAGGGCGTGGCCCAAAATGTGTGTTAGCTCTATTTACTGTGAATTTTTCACTTTATCCAGTTATTTGGTTTACGTTTAGCTCAGTTAGGTTGTTTATTGCTTACAGATGAAGGTATTGAGATAGTGTTTCTAGGTGTGTTGTTCAGTTAGTTATTCAATAGTTTATTGGTTAATGTTCAGAGAATATTAACTTAAGAGCAGATGACCACTTGGCTTGCATTGTAGATTCAGAGTAGAGGATTATGGCATTACTGATTATTCATAATTATTGTATCAATTGTTCAAAGCCTGATTGTCTTAATGTTAATTTAAAGGTTCTTCCTAATGCTACCACTGTCGCTCCCATAGCCACGCACAAATAAATAGTGAAAAAAGGAGACATTGGCTGGTAGTATCGGAGTGGAAGTCAGTTAATCAACTCTGGGATGTTAATCCCTTTCAATCCCTAACCCTAACCCTAACCCCAACACACTTCGATGTTGGCAGTGTATGTTAGTGGCAGTAATGCTAACCTCAGGACAACGCTAGCCCAATCAATTGCTAACGTTCTTGTTGGACAAGAGGAAAACAAAAAAAGAATGTCGGAGCACACGTGTAACGTTCCAGAATGTACTGGGAATATCCAGACTTCGAGTTAATGCCAGAGAGATTCATAGCTTGTCAAGAGGGATTGGGATTGTGTCGGCACAACATGCTGGCAGCCTCCGAGTCCTTATTGTTGCTCGTTACTACTGACAACGGTGCGCTCAGTCTCGGTCTTGTGGCCAAATTCAATCTATTGTTCATTTGACTGGTTACATTACACAGCCATGGTAAATCGTTGCACTGCTGTGGGCTGCGACACGTAGAAAATGGTGGAAAACAAGCTAACGTTTCAGCATTTTTCTGCTTGGAAGCATAACCTCGTCAGCTTGCTTAGATCGCATCTGCAAGGCAATCCAAATTTCACAATTATTGACGTCGGACTATTTTCATTCGGGTAAGTTACAGATTGTGTATGTTGTTGTTTTTTTTTTTTAAATACATTTCTTTCCTTCAACCGTGACATGCACACACAACACACACAGGCTACACACCCATACAGTAGGCTTCTGTGGGATGACAATTTTACTAGCAAACTAGAAAAACCAGCAAATGAAACGTTGACCTTTCATCCTCATGTTTACATACGCTCACATAATGGACAATGAAGCCGAAAATGTTTGTTATGCAGAACTGCTGCAACCTTCATCGGTCTTTCACGTGGATCTAAACCGTTTATAACGCTGATTTTGTCCACATACCGGTTCCCCACTCTTTATTTAACGTATCCCTGAATATTCTGCATCATTTCTGGAATTTTAACATGTTGTTTAACACTTCCTTTCTCCCAAATCTGCTACTTCTCTGCAACGTCCTGTTTGTTTTCACACTTTTAAAGCCATCAACAGGTCCTGGTGTAGTGGAGTGGGTGGGGCAAACCAGTCTTTATTATCAGGCTGCATGACCATTCATCAGAGCTCCTGGGCCATTGTGAGCCCCAACATGTTTTATATGCTACAGAGAGGCTCGGATTGGTTACCTATGCAGATATCCAAAGGGTTCAAGCATTTTCTCCAACAGACCACATCTCTAAGTGGCAGATTGTAAGAAATGTCTCAAATTTCCCCTAAATAAAAACTGCTTCTCTTGCCCAAATTGTTTACAATAAAAACCACTCCAGCGGCTGTTCTCTCTACATAAAAACTATCTGGTGGGAATGTTGGCCATCTGTTTTTCATTAAATCTTTCAAATAAGAATTTCACTTTACAGAAATTTGCCCCAGTAGGCGAATGAAAAGTGGACGAGGTGTGGCTGCAGCAGCCCTCCCCCTGATGAACCTTCAGTCGTGACAAAGAGGAAGAAAAATGCGCCTCTCGAACTGAGCCAGCTGGGAAAGAGGAGAGGGTTGCGTTCAAAAGGCTGAAACAAGGGTGTGACTGTGAAGTCTTCCTTTACCCTCTGGGGGGATTTTCTGATTCATAACTGCTCTCAGATCAGAGATGGAACTTGGAATTGTCTCAGAATGAGACCTATAACACTCCTCCCAGTTGGAAGAACAGATTTGATTTTTTTATCTTTTATCCTTAGTAATACATTTCCAATTTCCTTTAAATATAAAAATAAATAAGTCATCGTTTTATATATATTTTTGCACTCCAACTCACTTCACTGCAAATGTCTAAGGTTGCCCCGCCGGCACTGACTCACAGATGGTGGAGTTTATTGGACTACGCAGGCTTTTGCATATTCGTCCTCAGCGTGAAGTACCATGTTTGTACATGAACGAACATGGCTGAGTTATCAGAAGGCTGTACGGTGAAACGGGCTCAGTCTGAGCTGCACAGGAGAGAAAGCTGTTCTTTGATACCGAAGGCATGCAGAGCTGTGTCTAATGCTGTGACAGACCCAGCGAGCCCGGGAAAGAGGTGCACCCGTCCTGTTTGAAGTGGTATCAAATGCATAGTGTGCTGAATTTTACAGGACTTTGTGTAAATGACTGACACCCCCCCCCCCCCCCCCCCCATAACATAAAAGTGCAAATCAAAGAATAGACCTTGCATTATTAAGTCATGTGCATGTAAACATACTGTACAAAAACATAGCTTGTAGGCATAGTTACAGCATGTAGGTCCTCGGCAACAGTTGGATTCTCTTTCGTCAGTGGCTAGCACTCGTACAGAAATGTCTGGTATGCTGGTGTTTGTTGAAGCCTGGAAAGAACTTGGAAGAGTCGGCCGGTCCAGAGCCAAACTCTTTGGTCCACGTTTCAAAAACAGACATTGTTCTTGTAAACATTTGTGTGCATGCAGATTTTGTTGTGAGTAAAAGTCAGTAAAAAACTGCAGCTGGAGTTTCACCCCCCTCCACTCATTAAGTCAGTCTGCCTGGCTCAGAGGAAAGGGGCAGATTAAATGGGTATCCAATCAGTCTGGCAGTAAAGACTGGAAACCAGTGCCCCATCCCAACACCTGAATGCACCACACACACACACACACGTTGGTAACCCTATGTGTCGGTGAGTGTGTGCCAGTGGCAGACCTGCTGCCCATCCGCCTCTCTCATTTCTGTCCAGTGGGCCTGCTGCTCCTCACCGGTGCTGCTGTGGCCCAGGGAGACCCAGCCAAGCCTCTCCCTGGGTTTCATGCTGCTCCGCCGGCAGAAGACGGACAGCACCAGCGACACCTCCGACAGCTGGAAGAGCGCCACCTGGAACATGAATGTCTCCTTGTAGGTGGGGTTGGGCTGTCCCCGGCACACGGCTGTCTTATGCTTGGACATCTCTTTGCCTTTGGAGTCCAGCATGGTGAGTTTCACGTAGGTGTCTGAAAGGAGGCAGTGCCGCCAAGAGGTTAAACAGAGTACTGCACCTTTGTTTTCTTAAAATACATAAAAGTAACTTTAGATAAAAAAGCATCTTTAATTTTCAAATTCAACTTTAAGATTTGTCCTTCTTTAAATACTGAGATGTGACGGAAACTTTAATAGAGCTTGAAAATATCTACATAAAATTTAAAAGCCATATTACACATAAAAAAATGACACAGCTGCCTATGTGATTAAAAGTCTTAGTGATTATTTGGCTGGGTGAACCTTTTAACCATAAAAGTATTGTTGTCTCACCTCTCATGATGTACAGCTGTCCCCCTACGAAGTGTTTTACACAACAAAACAGATCATCTGTGATGAACACACACCACGGCACACAACGATAGAAGAAAGAGAAGATATTTAAAAAGAAGTGAAACACACACAAGAGTCAAGTTTTATCGCCGCTTTGTGTTTAAAACCTAAATAAGGAGATGCTTTAAGAAGTATATTAGGGCTGCAACAAACGATTATTTGGATAATCGATTAATCGGATGGGGTCTCGACACGATTAATCGATTAATCGGATTACATGGGGAAATTTTTAAAAACTGCTAGGGAAACGTTATTTCTCTCCTTCCTTCACTTTATTTAACACAACATTATTAGAAAACAGTTCAATAGCAGAAAAACAACATGCCATCACCTAAATTGTCTTATAAGGTGTATAGACAGAGACCCTAAGCTACATCTATCTGTGACCTAAAATGCTTGGTCCAAGTTAAACAGCTTAAGGGCAATTCTCATCTGTTTTGTTTGATCTCATCTGTTGACATATATTTTAAATGTAATTAAACGGCTGTGAATTAATCAAAATTGATCACTATTTCCAAAAATGACTG